TCTCATGGCAGGGAAGACTGGGGCCATGTATGAACATTTATCACTGTTCCTTTCAATCCAACCTAAAGACAATTGTGGCATTTTAAAAGCTATGCATTTGTTTTAAATTCAAATATATTTCTTAGGCATGGTTTTCTCTGTTCAGGTTTTCTCCCTCATTCAGAAATTTACACTGTTTTTACCTTTAAATGATAGTAACAACGTATTTCTACTAATACTGTTTCCTTTTCTTTTTAATTTGAGCCATTTAATTTTTCTGTCTTTGACACTCTGTTAAACCTCTTTTTTTAAAATTAGAATAAATCATAGTAATGCTTTCATCCCAGGAGACAGTGCTTTGTGCAGATGCTTTCTTGAACCTGAGCATAATTTCATGATTTCAATAAGGAAGAAAGATAGGAAAGTCTAATTCAAAGTAAATTAGGATTTATAATTCAGAAATGCTTCTGCCTGTTTGTAACTAACTTTCTAGTTGCTCTCTCCACTCTTCAGTTTATTTACTTTAAAAAAAATTAAATCAGCCGTAAACTGTCTTAGTCTGGGTTTAACAGAAACTGGAGCATAAGACAGAGGCTTAAGTGCACATACTCGGTTAGCACCATAACCCAGGAGTCAAGAGCAGGGGACAGGGAAGAAGGAAGAGCGTATACAAAGGTATTTGACATTTGCAAGTTGACCACTGGCTGCTTAGTCCTTCAGGACAGTCTGAAGAGACAGAAGCCCAGGGGTGGGATGACAGCAGCATTCAGTAAGGCTCTGTTAGGTGACACCTGCAAGAAGCCAGCTAGTGCCCATGAAGAACTGGTGGCTAGTAAATGAGGCAGAGGCCACGTGAATCTGAAGTAGTGACAAGTGGTATCGTATAATACGCTGAAATATTCTTGTCATATGTATTTATGTACATAAGAATATAAAGTAAAACACGAACTTTTAGTCCCCACCTTTCTTTGTGAATACCTGTCATTTAACTTTTCACTTTTTATGCATGTACATATCATGGGAGAACATATACATATATCTGTTTCCTTTTTTTTATTATTTATTTTTTTTTTTTTTTTTTTGAGACAGAGTCTTGCTCAGTCGCCCAGGCTGGAGTGCGGTGGCGCGATCTCGGCTCACTGCCAGCTCCGCCTCCCGGGTTCACGCCATTCTCCTGCCTCAGCCTACCGAGTAGCTGGGATTACAGGCGCCCGCCACTACGCCCGGCTAGTTTTTTTGTGTTTTTAGTAGAGACAGGGTTTCACCGTGTTAGCCAGGATGGTCTTAATCTTCTGACCTCGTGATTCGCCCGTCTTGGCCTTCCAAAGTGCTAGGATTACAGGTGTGAGCCACCGTGCCCGGTCATCTTTTTCCTTTTAAAAAACATAAATCAGCCAGGCACAGTGGCTCACACATGCAATCCCTACACTTTGGGAGGCCAAGGCAGGAGGATCGCGTGAGCCCAAAAGTTTGAGACCAGCCTGGGCAACATGGCAAAACCCCATCCTACAAAAAAATACAAAAAATTAGCCGGAGGTGGTGGTGTGCACCTGTTGATCCCAGCTGTCTAGGAGGCTGAGTTGGGAGGATCATCTGAGCCCAGGAAGTTGAGGCTGCAGTGAGCCATTTTTGTGTTGCACTCCAGCCTCAGCAACAGAGCAGACTCTGTCTCAAAAAAAAAAAAAAATCAGGCCAGGCGCCATGGGTCAGGCCTGTAATCCCAGCTCTTTGGGAGGCTGAAGCAGGTGGATCAGGAGTTCAAGACCAACCTGGCCAATATGGTGAAACCCCATCTCTACTAAAAATGCAAAAAATATTAGCTGGGCATAGTGGTGCGTGCCTGTAATTTTAGCTACTCGAGAGGCTGAGGCAGGGAAATCGTTTGAACCCAGGAGGCAGAGGTTACAATGAGCCCAGATAACACCACTGCACTTGAGCCTAGGAGACAGAGTGAGACTCCACCTCAAAAAAAAAAAAAAAAGAATCAAACGTACTAATCTCCTTATTCCGTGACATATTTTCTTCACTCGTGTATTACTTGCATCGGGGTTAGGTTTAATGCCATTGTCAACAAGTTGATTTTGCCTTGAAGGTACATCAGGACACAATGATTAACATTTGTTGAATTAGTGCATGAATGAAGGAATATATCACTTCTAGTTACAGTTCTTGCTTATGGAAGAGGAATGCTGCTGATACTGGGAATGCAATGGGCAAGATCTGGTAAAATATGAAGTTGTCATTGTCACACAGTTGCCCAGTCATCCCTGCCAGTCTCCCCCTGCTTCCCTAATCTACACCCCCACATCCTCATTTCAGAACAGTAATAGATGCTATAATGGGGAGACACAGAAAAGAGACAGAGGGAGCTCATGCCTGTAACCCCAGCACTTTGGGAGGGTAAGGCAGGTAGATCACTTGAGGCTAGAAGTTCGAGACCAGCCCGGCCAACATGGTGAAACCCCCTCTCTACCCAAAATACAAAAATTAGCCTTGCCTGGTGGCGCATCCCTGTAATCCCAGCTACTCGCGAGGCTGAGGCAGGAGAATCACTTGAACCGAGGAGGTGGAGGTTGCAGTGAGCCGAGATTGTGCCACTGTACTCCAGCCTTGGTGACAGAGAGAGACTCCGTTTGAAAAAAAAAAAAAAGAAGAGAGAGAGAGAGGGAGAGACAAAGGGAGAGTCTTACAAAAATCTGTTCAATTAGCAAATATCTGTTAACTTCTTGTCAAGTGACAGACACATTGCATAAAATGGAGAACATGACATACTTGGTCCCTGTCCTCATGCAGGGAAAGTCTACAGTTGAGGGAAGAAAGACAAGAGTAGGGGAAGGATGCAGAAGAAAAAGAGGAGAAATTAGCAAAATACCAAAAGAGTGAAGAATTTCAGTTATCACTGAATTAATACAGTTCTTGTGTTAATAGAAGTTGTTTAGAAATGAGTTTAAATCCCAGCCATCTGCTCCCACATCAAACACACCTACTGTACCCATGATTTTGCCCTTCCCCCACATACATATGCATCCCAGTAATCATCTGGTGATTTTTAAATGAATTCTCACGTCAATAATAAAAATTACACTTGATTCAAACCAGTGAATTGTAACCCAGATCTAAGTATAAATATAGTGGAAATCGTAAGTTTCTTTAGTGACAGTCTTACTAATCAAGTTATTTGGCCTGTTTTTAGCCACATGGGATATTTTTTCTTTTTAAGGTTGCTGTGAGTGTTGTTTGTAGCAGCATCAGTAAGCCAAGAATTCACATAGTTACTCAATCACACAGATTACTCATCATTGCCTGTTCATAACAGAATCCTAAAATGTTTAAGATTTCTAATGCAAATCAAAATCTCATCATCACTTGTCATTGCTAAATTAAATGACAGGATAATAACATTACATTAAAACCATTTTTCTCTTGATTGAGTACCTTTTTCAGAAGTGAACCTTCTAGATGTATATTTTTTTCATCAGTACTATAAATGCATTTAGAATCCAAGATAAAAATAGAATTTAAAGGGGAGGAGTGGGATGTTTTCAAATTATTGATGAGGCTCTTTTGAATCTCAACCATATTTGACAGTGTACTGCAAGGGAATGGAGTAGTTCAGCTCAATTTATTGACACTTTTAGAGCTATATAAGGGAGGTTAACAGGTTGAGCTTGGTCCTTATTGAAACAATCGTGTGTTCTTAGCATCAGTTATAAGTCATCCCCTTGCAAACTGGCTGTTAGGGACCTATAGGAATTGGCATTGCTTTGTTCTAATATAAGATACTGGCTTCAGGTAGATCACAATCTATGTGGGAAATTAATATAGATTTCTAACCTGTAAAAGCAGCGTAGGTTCTCAGTGGCCTTACTATTGTGAACTTACTTCTTTACCTTTCTTTCCTATCTAAAGCTAATTAACCTTTTATGGTCACACCTGCCCTCTTTTTATCTCTCCCTCTGGCCCTTGGCCCACTTCTTTGTGGTCAACTAGCCAATGTTTGTGTCACCTGCGCCCGTCTTCTTCACTTGCCCTAGAACTCCCCAAAACGCCTCTTTCATTTTAAAGTCAATCATTTCCTTCCATCCTTCAAATATTTTATTTCTTCATACCTTCCATCTTTAATAATATGAAATATAAAAATCATACCCTGGATCAAACCTTTTATTATTTTTGCCTCACTTAATACTATCATCATTAGGCAATAATAGCATTATGGTAAAAATTTTTACCTCTTGGAGAAACTGATGAAGGTATTGACTCAAACAAGATTGGCTATGAGATGATAATTATTGATTTATTAAATCTGGATGATAGGTGAATGAGGGCAAGGGAAGTCAATATGCTGCTTTCTCTACTTTTATAGGTTTGAAACCTTCCATAATAAAAATTTAAAAATAACTTAGCTCTTTAGGGTTCCTTTTTTAAAATAGATGCTCTTTTTGAGTGAGCGCATGAAATGATGTGGTATGCAGGATGGCCTAAGACTAAAACCTGATCCTGCTGTCTGAACACCCCACTCTTACTCTACCCCTTAGTAAACAAAAAAGATTCTTTAGTACCTGGAATTGTAACTTCCCTCTCTCCTTAGGTCCTGTACTTGATTATCAGAATCCTGATACACTTCCTGCTTCTTGTTAAAGTAACCAGATAAATCCATATAGAAATATACATTAATTTCATCCTGTTTATTAAATCCCACTGTGAATAAAGTTCTGTGCTGGCATTAGGAAAGGGAATATGAAGGAAAGGTATTCATGAATAACCCTGATGCAGTACACTAGCCACAGTAGTGGGCTCTAGGAGACAGAGAGGAATTCTGTCAAAGAGACTCATTCTTGATAATGATGCAAACTACTAAATGTCATCCTAAAGGAAGAGACAATCTTCCTTGCTTCTGCTCGTAATTCTAAGTGTTAAGACTATTTAGAGCTCTACCATATAGCCTTCCCTCTCTTCTAAAGAACTTAAATTGATTACAGTTACCAATATGCCTTTTTTCTTCTCTTTTTAAATTACAATAGTCTTACTTCTCGTTTGCCAAAAACTGGAGAAACCATCCACGGACATAAGTTTTTTATTGGCTTTGGAGGGAAAGGTGCCAACCAGTGTGTCCAAGCTGCTCGACTTGGAGCAACGACATCCATGGTGTGCAAGGTAAGTATAAAGTATAGTGGAGAGGATTCTAGAGGTAAGAATCTGGTTTTAAGACTGGAGTTCAATGTTTTTATTTTTTTCAACCATTTTAAAGTGAACAGTTCAGCAGCTTATAAAACATAGAGTGGCATTTAATACATTCAACCACCACTTCTGTCTTGTTGCAGGACTTTACTATCATTCCAAAACAAAATCCCTTACCCCTTAAGCAGTTCCTTCTCATTCTGTCTTCCCTTTAAGGCCCTGGGAACCACCAGTCTTCATTCTGTCTCTATGGATTTATCTGTTCTGGACATTTCATGTAAATGGAATATATATTATGTGACATTTTGTACCTGGCTTCTTTCACTTAGCATACTGTTTTTGAGGTACAACGTTGTAGCATATATCAGTATTTCCTTCCTTTTTATAGTTGAATAATATTCCGTTGTATGGATATACCACAATTTTTTTGTTCATCAATGAATGGATTGATGGATGCTTGGGCTGTTTCCACCTTTTGACTCTTATGAACAGCATTGCTACCAACATGCATATACGTCTACTTGAGTACCTGCTTTCAGTTCTTATGGAAGTTTATTGTTTTTAAAGATCTAAATGAGAGAGAGTAGTCTCCCTTGTCCTTTATATTAATGTCTACCTCATTACATCCTCTGGGAAGTAGCAGTTCTCAAATAACTTAATGCTGCATTCCCTGAATGTAATGAGTTTCTAACTGGGGTGTGAGAAGTGAGGGAAATTAGCCTACTCCAGTGGGTTTCTGTCATCCAGCTTCTAAACAACAGCATGAGTCATCCTGTTTTTAGCAGGTTTCACTGCAGCAACACAGCTTTTGGAAACTTCGTGTAATAACTGGTGATTTACTCATCTCTAAGTCATTTTCTTCTAATGCTGTATCTTAGATCTGAAAAGAATCTTGGCCTTAATGAACTGCACATAACTGATCTTTTGGCATTGTTTTGTTTTCATGTATGTAGAGATATGATATTGTAACATCCAGTATTCCTGTTTTTATCCATGCTACTGAAATAATTTGAAAATAAATTAAATGGGCTGCCAAAAGTTTACATTTTTCATTTTTCATGAAATTTTAAGGTGCTAGCATTATAGTATTAGTATAACAGGAAAGGTAGATAATTGTGTTTGTTTGATTTTTAGGGAAAGCCAGGCTGGGTCTGTACATTATTAAAGGGCAAGAAAAATACAAGGAACTTAAAAGAATGAGCTTTCTCCTGTGAACTATATAGATTTTACCAAAAATTCTCAAAATGTCATTTTTCATTGCAGTCAGCACTTTTCTCTCCACAGGAGTTTTAAATGATGTATAAACTATACAATTATCACTTCATCTGCTAGTGAACTGTAATTTTATGTCTAACCTATGATTAACATAATTTTCACATGGCTATTGGGTCAAAAACATCACGTGAAGCATAAGATTCAAAGTAAGAAACCCTCTTTCGCTAAGATTGAGCTCTTGATAGATTTAAAATATCATTGTAATTAATCAGCAACTAATTATGTCCCAGGAATTATGGGGCTGTGAGAGAGGGCTGATTAAAAACTTAGGCCTGACCCATCTCGTACCTGATTAGCTGTGGAAGGTTTGGAGAGTGATCAGATGGTGCTGACTTAATTAAGAGGACCTGGGAACTGGAAAGAGGATGATACAATTTCCTGTGTAGGAAAACCTGGACGTAGAATTGGCGTTGGAAGCTATGTACCCAAAATGGCTTCCTGAAAGAGGGGAGTTCCTAGAGCTGGAGACGTTAAAGGAGAGATTAGAGAACCCCTCCCTCTTGGAAGCTTTATAGAAGCTATTTATGTAGCCATTAAAGTCAAGATTGGATGTCCCCTGGGATCTCTTCCAAGCCTGATTATGAAATTGATTTTATTTTAGGTCTGTTGAATTTGAGGTAAAGAAAGAAATGACAAAGAGAAATATTTGAATTATGGAACTGAACTTGGGAAATGAATCCTAAAACCATATGAGTGGATGGGAGAGGAATAGAAGCAGGGGGCTGTATTTTGGGAAATGTTCCAGTTAGGAGGTTGATTAAAGCAAAAGTACTATTTGCGTATGACGGTTTATGTTAGCATCTGTACAATGTTGAAAGTTCTATATATCTACCATGCCCCTGATTTAGTCATCTAATGTTTAGCACCGCAGTGGATTTTAGCCTGTGTGTCTGCATAGCAGAGGATCAAAAAACATGACTGTAGCTAAAACCTATCCAGGGTAACTTTGGTTAGATAACCTGGGACCTTTAGACATGGAATTATTTAAAAGCTTAAGCAACTTGCACAATATTCTTAGACTTCTTAAAAAGAAAATAATATATTTTTATAATAGAAGTTATTTCTGTCCATTAATCATATTTATCCATTGTGAAATACATTTTTATTAAGCAAATTAGTCAAACTTGCTTTATAGCAGTTTTTTTTTTTTTTTTTTTTTTTTGAGACGGAGTCTCGCTCTGCCGCCCGGGCTGGAGTGCAGTGGCCGGATCTCAGCTCACTGCAAGCTCCGCCTCCCGGGTTTACGCCATTCTCCTGCCTCAGCCTCCCAAGTAGCTGGGACTGTTTTGTATTTTTTAGTAGAGACGGGGTTTCACCGTGTTAGCCAGGATGGTCTCGATCTCCTGACCTCGTGATCCGCCCGTCTTGGCCTCCCAAAGTGCTGGGTTTACAGGCTTGAGCCACCGCGCCCGGCCTATAGCAGTTTTTTAAAGATGACAAGTTCTAAGTAGAAACCAAAACTATGAAATTTATCAAGATAAAAATGAACAGATGGAGCAAAAGAAAAACAGGTAAAAATTTTCTATGGCTTTCTCAGCAAGATTGATTTACCTGTTACTACCTATAACAAACTAAACTTCAAGCTCTTACAAAGTAAGACTGATGGCCCAAACAAACTTCTTATATTGAGCTAGGGAGAAATATTTGTTAAGATATTGTGACAAAGAATATTAAAAGAGTTACCTCAATATTTATACAGTGATACATGTATAATGAAACATTTGAAGTACTTAAAAGTTATTTAGTCAGTTTTTAACTGAGTCATGGACCAAAGCTACAGTCCAGTGATAAATGGAGATGGTATTTTCAGATTTAAAATCCCCGCAGATATTGTATAGTATGAAAGTCGTCCTCCCAGGACAAAGAGCCTATTAGGACATCTTTCTTAAGACTTCACCTGAGTTAAGTGTTTCCTGCTCCATTCCATTGAAGCCAAATGTTAGGAGGAGGAAGTTATTCCTAAACATCAAAAATTGGCAGTTCAGGAGAGGACCATGGTCAAGTAAGGAACTCAAGATGCAGTGGCCCAATATGAGCACAGAAACCATGAGCAGGTATGAACCCAAATGACCCAGGTCAGGAATCAGCAAACTGGAAACACCTTCAAAAAATTACCCTGTCTTACTTCCTTCAAATATGAGACTGTCAAACTCTCTAATACAGGTAGCTATCTGTTCTCCCTTCAGAACCATCAAGCATGAAGTTTTGTGACAGAGGTGATACTGATGCAGGCTGCCCTGGTGGGCTTAGCCAGGGAGGGTTCTTGGCTTTGCCCAGGCAAGAATTTAAGAGTGAGCCAAGGATAAGAAAAAGCCACTTTGACTGAACCAGTGCTGCACGGCTAACCCATAGGCTGGGTGCCCAGAGGGTAGTGTATGGACTGTTAGCAACTATATTTACATGTACTTTAAATTATATGCTAATTAAGAGGTGGGTTATGCAGAACTTTTTGGAAAAAGGGTGGGGAATTTTCAGAACTATATAAGGTAACTTCCGGGCCATTGCCATGGCATTTGTAAACTATCCTGGGTCCAGTAGGAGCGTCTTGTGCTAATGAGCAGTGAGAGCAACTAGAGGTCACTTTCCTCCGTTTCAGCCAGCTTCTTCATTGCACCATGTTTTGACCAGATCCTGCTTCCACCAGCAGGGTCCAACCGAAAGTAAGACCTGCTGGCCTCCTAACTCGGTGTATTAAGGCGGCGTTGTTCAAAGTCCAGTCCTCAGACTGGTGCCAGGCTGCATGTAGATTGTCACTGGTCCAAACAGTACAGGAATTGAGAGTAAGCAGTTAGGATCATTTATAGCAATTTGACAGAATAACTTCATAGCTGTTGAATATAATAGTAATAATAAATTAGGCCTTGTAGTTTGTATGACTCTTTTTTGTTTTCATCTCCTTGTTATTGTATTTTATAAAATAGTCCACAATGGGTTGAAAGCAAGAAAAGGAAAACAAGGCCAATGTTTCTCCATGGATAGCTTGAAAAGCAGTGCATTAGAGTATCCATCACCTTAACCAAAAAGTACCTTCTGTGCTAGATTACTGTGGGAGAATCATCTGATCATGCATTGAGATTTTCATTTTCAGAGATCAAAAATTAGTCACCAGGTCTTTCCAGGTAATATATAATGAGGTGAAATCTGTCCTTTCCTGAACTCTGTTGAAAGACAGCTAGCTAAAAGTAGTTGGCTCTGTTGATTGGAATGCTCAGCCATATGTTCAAACAAATGATCCTATAACCAAGCAAATAGTATACACCTTATATAAGAAGAAATGGTAGAAATGAGAGAAAATAACTGGATTATCTCAAACCTATCACCACTCTCATATAATCAAGCCTAATAATGGTGATTGTAGCATTAACTTTGTGTGTTAAAGGTCTTCATTTTTTTCTGAGACAGGATCTCACTCTGTTGCCCAGGCTAGAGTGCAGTGGTGCAATCTGGGCTCACTGCAGCCTCAACCTCCCCGGGCTCAGGTGATCCTCCCACCTTAGCCTCCCAAGTAGCTGTGACTACAGGCACATGCTACCATACCCAGCTAATTTTTGTACTTTTTGTAGAGACAAGGTTTCACCGTGTTGCCCAGGCTGGTCTCAAACTCCTGAGCTCAAGCAGTCAGCCTGCCTTGGCCTCCCAAAGTGCTGGGATTACAGGTGTGCACCACCATGCCCAAAGGCCATTTTTTTTTTCAGAGACAG